CAGAAAAAATATATAAAATTACGAAAATTATAAATGCATGAAAGTATTGAAATAAATTTTTTTATAAAATTAATGAATAAAAGTGAAAAATATTTTTAGATTGTGTTGCACAATTAATAATAAATAATATGAACGAGAAGAAGGAAAAAAGAATTTAATAAAAAAATTTTTGTAGAAAATTGAGAAATTTTGGAAAAAAATACATAAAATAAAATAAAAAGACATTTTAGGATACTAATGGAATGATAAGTTAGCATAATAAATTCATGTGATAGTTAATAATTTTTAGATACTTTGCATTGATTTATTGAATGAAAGTAAAAATAACTTTTAGATAGATTTACATGATTTATGGTAAATAGTATGTAGCAGAAGATAAAGAGATACTATTTTTTTTTAATTCTTAGGGAAAATCGGGAAAAAATATATAAATTATTTATTTATATTTTTTTTATTTTTTATTCCACGTGAAATGAGAAATTTCAATAAAATCCCATCTACACGAAAATAATAATTCTAGTAAAAAACCGTTCATTTCTGGTGAAAAAAACATAAATCTGATCATTAAAGCCAAAATTAACGATATTTAATCCATTAATTCGATATTTTTTTCAAAGATATGGTAACGGTTTACGGAAATTCTGGTTTTCAAAATTATAGATCTTATCACCACACTATTTGAAAATAATACAAAATTCAAAAGTAAATTTTGCCAAATAAATAATAATAAAATATAATAGCGTTTTATAATTTAATTCGTACTTAAAGTTATAATTTTATTATACATTACAAAACCATATTTTTTTGTTAATTTTACAGAAATCATTACCAAAGTTGCTTCAATAAAAATGACTGAGCATTTTGGTGATACCATTTAGCAAGAAACACAGTAAATTTGACCATATTCTGATAGTTTTGACCATACATTTTTCTCAAAATACGTTCAAAAAATTTCAAACTTTTAACTCTAAAAATATATTGTATTTGAAATCATTAAGATGAAATTTCAAATCATAACATTTAAACCAAACCTAGACATACTTACTTTTCTGATATCAGAAAAAAATTGTAAATATCGGTATACTGTGTATATTTTCATTGCTGCAAAAAGTTGTATTAAAGAAATATTTCCCAGATGCAGCATAACAGCATCGGCGAGCAGATTTACATCAAGTTTCATTCTCACTTCAAAAACAGATATTTCAAGTTGTATATTCCCTCGAAAAGTCTGGCAATATCGAAAGATGAGAAAGCGAAAAAATATCAAGCTTTCACGAAGAAAGAATTTACTTTGGAAATTTTTTTTTCCTTGACAGAGCCAATTTCTTAGGCGAAATATATTTTTTTCCTATTTCATATTTTTTTTGCCAATACGAGATAGAAGACACGTTCCTGTCGATTCTATGCAGCGTATAAAAAGAGAAACGCTGTCGAAACACTTTAACAGATGGTAAAGGGAAAAATCTCTCTCTTGGTAGGGAAAAAAAAAATCCTCAGTGCCCGGCGAATCCCGACGGCCACCAGCTGTTGCCAGAAAAGGAAGAAAAAAATCTTATCTCATTTGTTTCTAATAAATTTGGTTCGATGTTGATGTAAGCGAATAAAAAACGTATCGGATAGTCAGAGTTAAGGGGCTAGTCTAGTCAGGTACAGCTGGAAATAGGTGATTTTCCAAGAACTTTATATTTTTAGAGGAAAAAAAAAACTCTTTTTTTTTGTGTTTTACGTGCTTTTAAAGAAATTTGTAAAATTTTTTTTTCTAGTGGCTCTGATGGGTTTTGAAACTGCATCAACAATCGGAAATGCTGCTTTCATGGTTTAATTTATATCGCTATAGCTGTGAAGATATAGTCTGCGAATGATGATATTGTATGATGAATCTACAAATGCTCTATATTAACTTAAAATGGTTTTAGAGCATTTCGTTTGTATGAAAGAATATAAACAAAACAATTTTTAATCTATTTTATCTAAAAATAAATAGTGTTGTCAAAAGTATGGTATACAATTTTAACTTATAGACAATTGTCCGAGCGAAAATCACATATCGCAATGCATGCCTGCGTGTTATAATATATAACTTAAATATGCATTTTAGTTTTTGAAGTATACCAACAATGAAAAGATTTTTCTGATTTGAAATCTTTAATTGAAGGTATATTTAACGATATCATTATTGTATAAGTTACATTTATAATGTGTTATGTTTAAAAAAATTTGATTTTTAGATTTAACAAAAACAGGCTAAATTATTAAGAGCCTGCAATGAATTTTTACATTATACCGTGGACGCCCAATATTTGCAGACACCTGATTATAAATATCGTACGCACAGTAAAAGAGAACTTAGAACAAATGTACCATTTGGTTTTATTGTGATACAAAGCATAAATTACAATAATTTAAGAGAAAAATTTAATATCAAAAATCAACAACATTATAATTGGCAACTGCCGTGATACAACTTATAGATGAATGACCTGCTTAATTTATTGAAAAAAACAATTACTAATTTAAAACTGAGTCAAATTACTGATTCACAGATTTGCTAATACACCGTTTCCTATATTCCCTTTTTTTCGTTCTTTTTTCCCTTTATTCATTCAATGTAATAAGGTTCATCTATGCCAACGGTTGTCAAAAAAAAAATCGTCAATCTTAAAAAAGAAAGAAAAAAATGAATGAGGATAGTTATAGTATATGTCCTCATTCTCTTTACTGAAATTGGTTTTAAATCTATAAAATCAACACTAATTATTTCATCCATTACAAATTATGACTTAATTAACCTTAATAATTTCCTTCGGCATATTTTTTTTCCCATTCTTAACCTTAAATATTCTACTTATTGTATCTTACCCCCATACTTAATCTAAATTATTTTGTCGTCATACTTAACCACAATATTTATTTAAATTTTATTTCCATACCTAATCATAATTATTTCCCTTATATATTTTGTTTCTATAAAAGCATTTATTTAATTTTATCATCCTATCCAACCTTCACTATATCTCCATATTTAACTTTAATTAAGTCCTTTGTTTTATTTTACCTCAATCCTTCCTTCCTTCCTCAATGGCACGACAGCCCCGGGTGGGCCCTGGCCTTCTCAATCAACTTCCTCCAGGCCTGTCTCTGCCTGGCAGTTGTCTTCCAGTTTGAGACTTTTAAGACTGAAAAGTCTCTTTCCACGCAGTCGGCCCATCTCAGCTTTGGTCGACCTCTGGGCCTTGATCCGATGGGCTGAGCCGAAAAGATTATGTTTGTCGGACGCTCTCTGTTCATCCGAATGATGTGACCAGCCCATTTAATTCTTTGAATTTTTACGTACTTGACAACTTCAGGCTCTCTATGGGCCCGATAGAGTTGTGAGTTTGAACGTCTGTACCAAGTACCATCAACTTGTTTGCCCCCAAAAATGGATCTTAGGATCCGACGTTCGAAGATTCCCAAGGAATTCTCATCTTTCTGTGTTGTTGTCCAAGTTTCTGAGGCATATGTTAGGATAGGTCTGATCAAGCATTTATAAATTAACAGTTTAGTATCTCTTTTTAGTAGGTTTGAGTTTAAATATTTTTTTAATCCATAGAAACATTTACTTGCACTATTGATTCTTCTTTGTATTTCGGGTGCGATTTTACCTCAATACCTAAGTTTAATAATTTCTTTCTGTATTTTATCATCATACTTCAGTTAACCCTAATTATTCCCTTCATTATATTTAATAATCTGTTGCTTGTTGTTTCTATTACGTAATTATCATGCCAGCAAGCCTGTTTGGGAAACCAAGCGAATTTAAGGCAGAGGGGGCGCTTTTTGCTTTTTAGTGGCGCAATCTATAGTAAGAAAAACCACTTCAGTCTCAAACATATGCCACAACCCATTTAACAAGGCGAATCCATTCATGCATCCATCCATCCATCTTAACTTTGATCCGAACCAGAGAACGATAAATCTCCAATTCAGCACCCCCAGAGGCTTTGATTTCTTATGGCAACTTGGAAGACTTTGTGACCCCAACAAATTTAACGCGCATCATTCACCATTCATAATGCACGTGGATTCTTCGGACACCTGGATTCTCACGAACACGAGTCTAACGCCGTGCCAACCAGGCTATCCTGGTCCATATTTTTTTTTATTCAAAAACAATCTTCTGCGCAATTTATTTCAGACTATAAACCTCTGCTTCCCTATTCCAGTAATTTAAAGTCCAAACAGTCCAAGTTATTGCTAATTTTTATTTTAAAATAATTTATAAAATGATCGTGACCCTCGAAAAAAGTCGATATCTGAATCTAAAACTTAGAAATAGTTTTTGAAGTAAAAAAAAAAATTTAATTAAGTAATTTACTTGCTTTAAACAACGCTAAAAATAAAAAACTTCGTCAAATTATTAAATTTTCCAATCACTTTTAAAGTACTAAAAGACGCTGGCAAAAAGAAAGAGATTTAAAAAAAAAAAATGTCGGATGGAGAAAAAAATATGCAATTTCATTAAAGTTTCACAGATAAAAATAAGGCCAGATGTAAAGGTACAAAAAAAGATTATACTTGTTCTCATTACGCGTTCAAACAAGACGTTATTTATTTTCATATCTTTTTTGAAACTCAATTTAAATATCTCTCCCTAAAACATCTTTCCTCAAGACATAGAATCAACTTTTCACGTCGATATCTCTCCAGGCGCGCTCTTTTTCTCAAACATCACGGTAAACACACCTCTTTTAATTCTTCACCCCCTCGGACACAAGTGATTTCAACGAACGGGTGTTGAGTTTGGCGCCTTCTAGCCAACACACCTCCAAAATCGGGAAATCGCCAAGAACCCTTTTTCGGAAAATCCTGGATCCCATCCAAAGGCACCGTTGGTGGCTACCTTCGAAACAAGAGAGAAGATAGGGGAGATATTTTGGCGCTATTACAGTACGATACCGGCGCTTCGTGTTCGAAAAGGTTAAAAGAATTCCGGGAGCAAAAGATGTTGATGAGCGCGCTCAGAACTCATTCTTGGCTGAAATGGGCGACTAAAGAGTGCGCCTAAATTCGTGCTCGGAATACAAAACTTTGCTCTTTCTTATCCTACGCGGATGAGGAGGAAAATTTTATTCTTGTGTTCTAAGTGATATCTTCTTTTTTTTTTGGCTTTGGTTATTCCGTATTTTTCTCGCCAAGGTGTGTGCCAGGCGAAAGGATATTAAACGAAGTAGTCTACTTTTTTCCGTGTTTACAAGGATAAAAAAATATATATATATAAACAATTTCAGTGTCTGACATTGAAGGTTCAATGTTTTCTCGTTGGAAGTCTGGTGCCAGGTATGTTAATGAATGGTGATTTAGGTGTTTCTAAATCAAGTTACTTTTGCACAAGATATAAAATTTCTGAAACACAAATATATCACTCTCCCTCCTCCAACATATCACCGAAATAAAAATTTCGACATTGAATATTTTCTTTTACTCAATAATTTTTCGAGAAAAACAATCAAGATGCACATAGATTTATATATACTTAAATAAATCAAAAACTTAATGTAAAAAAAATCTTTAATTTGTCAGCTATATGTAGATTAAAAAATGTAACATAATTATAGTCACCTTTAATTACTTTGAAACCCGTGATATTTGCAAAAAATAGATACTACGAATAAGATGTTTCGAGGGCATTGATTAAAATATTCAATCAATATAATTTATTAGAATGAAATTGAAATATTATAATTTGCAGTTTTCCGGATCAATCTTCATTTAAATAATAAAACTAAAACTCGTACGGATTATGTAAATGGGACCTGGGATTACTTTATACGTATACTATACTTATCGAGTTGAAAGTCTTTAAAATTGAAAATGTAAATGCTTGATAATAAGACAGTTTGATAGTTTGTTGTTAGATATCGATGTAAAATTGTAGTATCGATACGAGAAGATTATAATGAACTTTGTGTTACTTAAAAAATATGCATAGAAGAATCAGTTTTTTTTAATTAACGAAAAGAATCTGATTGAGTCGTAGTTGATAAATAAAGTGTGTGAGTTATTTTGTTAGCTTAAATTTGAATTACATTCTTTCAAGAACAGAATAAGGAAAAATACTTCAATAGGCCAGCGTTAAAAAAGAAATTTAGATCACGTAACTCAAATGAGAATTCCTTGTATGCCGTACTTTAAAATACATCAAATTGCTGAGATCTAAAGTTTCTTTAAATTATTAAACAAGGTTATTAAATAAGAATAAAAAAAATTTAAACTCACCTGGGAGAAAGAAAAATTATTACGTTTCATTCGTAAGAATATTAGTAACAATTATTTTAGCACAAATAAGTATTTTTAAATTTCACAGTACTTGCTATTTGGATTACTATTTAATTACATTAATAATAAAGTAAATATTAGTTGAAAAGATAAAAAAAAGGATTAAAGAATTGAAAAGAGTGCATGTTTTCTCATTCGCTGGGTAATAGCAGTTAAATATCAATAAAAATTGTAAAACAAAAAGTAGTAAAAAATAGAATATTTGTTATTATCCCTTAATAACATAACATTATTAATACAAATAATTATCACATTAATATTAACGTAAATATGAATTAGGTTGATTTTTAATCATCTAAATTATCTTGAATAAGGAACAAGGGAAATGAAAGATGAATCAAGAAATTTTTGTTTTCTGATTCGTCAAAATTTTAGAAATGACAAAGCTATTAAAAATGACAGTTTGAAAACTAAGCAATTTTAATCATTATTGATGTTAATTTTATATTGATATGTTAAATATTGATAGATTAAATATTGATACATTAAATATTGATATTTTTTAAATATTTTTATACTGATATTCAAAATATTATTTTTAAAACATAAATTACATTAATATTTAATTGCACAATTAAGGATAAAATGGATGCTTAAAAAATATTTATTAATGTTATACAAATTTTTCAGTATAAATAAATGAACAAAGATAAATAGATAATAGAGGCAGATATATTATATAAAGGCAAATATATCATATTTTGTGTAGTATGCTGCGTAATATATTACATTTTGTTAAATTATATTTTTTGTTTCCGAATATTTTATATTACTTCATTCTTATTGTTTAACTTTACTACATTTAATATGAACTACTAAATCAATCGATTTTTTTAATTTATTTTGATCAATTTATACTGATTCCTTTTGATTTAATTATCTAAATTATTCTCATTAATTACTATTACTTCAATCTCAAAAATTTATTTCCCTAAATTGTGATTGATTAATCGTATTATTTTTGATTAAAGTGAAGTAATTTACTCTGGTTAATTTATGTTCATTAGTTCTTGTTAATAAATTTTACTTTGTTATTTTTAATTTGTATCATTTCCTGATATTTCATCCTCATTAATTTATATCCTTTTTTCCGGTTGAATAGTGATAATTTACGGAAGATTAATTTGCATGCCAAGTGATCTGAGTGTGATTAGACTCATTAAATAATCCGCCAGTTCAGTCACTGAATTTTTTTACCTTTTATTCAAAAAAAATAAGCCAACTTATTTCCTTATGAAACACAATGCTTAGAATGCGTCTCTTATATCTATTTGTTCTCATTTTTTCATTGCTGATTTTTGCCGTAAACTGGACTAAGTTTTTTGATTCGATATTATCTAAAACTGAAAATAATTATGAACATTTCGTACGATATAAATAAATTGGCTTATTTTAATTAAAAATACGGTTCCGTCTTTTTTGAGTTTTGTTTCTTTTTAAAATGTCTCACTTTTCAAAAATATATTAAGCGCGTTCTTTCGAATTTCAAATTTATGTATAGAAAACTTTATAAATGAAAAACGAAATGTTTATATAAATGAAAGACTAACTGTTCTAAATGTTTAAATTTTCTTATCATAATAATGTAAAAGAAATTATTGAAAATATTTTTAAACTTACTTTTCTTGTTAGAAACGTCATTTCCTGTTTAAAAGTAGAAAACGTTTTAACTTCTTGTATTTGATATTCTCTTCATTATACTGATCTTGAAATGTTTCTGTCTTTAATTAGAAAAAAAAAACTCTTTTTTATTACTGTACACTGTAACAAATTCTTGACCAAATTATGGTATAAAGTACCAGCACTTAGAGTGCAAATTAGACATTTTACCCAAAAATTCATTCGTACCATGAAATATTGTACCGTGATTTTTTAAGTAATAATTAGAGGAATTCAGTGATTTGGTAATTATTACTGTAAAAAATACGGTATTTCAGACCTTACTAATCAGATTTTTTCCTTTTTTCACAATATATTACCAGAAAATTGAATTTTACGGTAAAAGACATCAGTACCCTGAGTACCTTTACTTTTTACAGTAATTTGATTCGGAATTTCTTAGAGTGCATGTGAGTATACTGAAAACACTCTTATAATGAAAAAAAACCATTTCATGTTTTTTTTAACTTTATCTAGTTAGACATAAACATGCTGATATAGGAAAAATCTGTGCAATACAGCACAGTTTTTTTAAGGCTATGAAAAACGCTGATATTTCATTTAAGAAAAATATAACTTCTAAACACAATTAATCCAAGCTCGATATGATTTGAAAACAAGACTCAATAGTCTTATCATCCACGATATTTTACTTCAATACATCTTTCTACCAATTCATCTTCATTTTTTCTGAGTTTTCTTTCAATGCGCTTTATATTTTGCTCAAATTATCTAAACAATTAGGCATTCTCTTAGTCTTTGTAATCTCTAATTTTCACTGCCTGGTCATAAGTAATTCCAACTCGATGAAATTGATAACATTTGAAAACTCATTTTCTTAATTAATGTTGGATAAATTTGATTAGTTTTCTATTGAAGTACAATTGGATGAATTGTGAACAAAAGTTGTATGCCTTGAAAAACTAGATTGAAAGTCCTGGCTCCAAGTCTAATTGAATTATAATAGAAAAAATTTATATAGAAGTTTTGTAAGTTTTTTCATCGATTTACTTTGAAGTATTTCCTAAAGCAATGAAAAAATAAATAGTTTCGAATGGCATAAAAATGGAGCACTGAGAAATTCTTGAGTTAACAGTGTTTTCATACAGTAATTTGATTCAGTAAATATAATATTTTTAACTTTCTTTCTATGTATTTTCTAAGTTTTGCAATCTCCAGTTCTCCTGCCATTCATCGTCAGTAACTACAACAAGATAGAAATAAAAACATTTAGTAACAATTTTTTTAATTAATAATATCTGGGTCTCTATCGAGAAAAGCAAAGTTTTTAATTTACAAAACTGTTGTCAGGCCAGTCTTGGCATATGCTTCTGAAGCTTGGACAATGACAAAACTGAAGTAAAATTGTAACACAATATTATAGAGAAAGATTTTGGGGAGTATACTTGGTCGGGTAATTAAAAACAATAACTGGAGAAGGAGATTTAACTTTGAAGTGTACAAGATTTATAAACAAACCGATATTATTAAATACATTAAAATAAATAGAATAAATTGGATGGCCCACGTGATTCGAATGAGTGATGACAATACAATAAAAAAGATATTGCTTTTTAGACCTACTGGAACAAGAAAGCGGGGAAGGCCGCGGTTGAGATGGGCTGATGATTTTCTTGCAATTAATGAAAAGAATTGGAGATTAAAGATAAATAGTAAGTCGTTATGGAGAAATCTTCAGAGGAAGGCATTGGCTCAGACTGGGCTTTGAGGCCAACCATGTGGCCTACCATTAGAATGATTAACCATCAGTTTATATACATCTTTTATTTTGAAGAATTCAAACATTAGCTAGCAATAAATTTTATTTATTTAAAATTTAAATACTCCATACATACTACAGTTCAGCTAGATGAAGTCTCAGTTTTCGTTCTCAAACCAAAACTTAAATCAGTCCGGAAAATATGAGACAAAGCACAGAAAAATTATCTATATCATTAACTGAACTATTTACATTCAAAACATGTGTGATTAAGTTTTAACAAAAGTTGTTTCGTTATAAATAAATTCTTATCGTCGCACCGCGTTCGTAAATAAGCTTTTTATTAGTTAAATGTAATCAATTTCCAACTCATTACTCTCTTTTACACATTTCTTTACCCAAATCTAGTCTTATGTATGCATTTAATTCCCGACTCAAAGCCATATGTATTTTCTTTCACTTTAACATCAGTTTTAATTAGTTTCATTTGAATAATTTTGGTTCATTATTTGCTTTTAAAGGCAATTCTCAGCTTTTATTTTGTATGACAATCTCACTGACTCATTGTTTAGCATAATTAGATAAGCGCTAAAATTCTTTCTCAAATGTATTCAATACATGC